TATTATTCTCATCAGTAATATTAGTGTTAGGTATATCAATATAATACCTGAACAAAGAAGATTGCAAATCCACCTGCTGGACTACGTATAATGATAGATAGAAGATAAACCCTTTCTTCAAGGCAACGAAAATGGCGACGACTCAGAACAGAATGACGATGAGACAGGAACAGAAACCTATTCCAGGGATCTTGCGGGAAGTTTGCACGCAATCTGACTGGTCCTTACGACTCTATCGTCCTGGTTTGGGAGCTCTGTTGCTAATGTTGCCCATAATTATGAACGAGACATGGCTCATGTACAATTTCATTTGTGATACGGTTCCATTTTTCTTTCGAGAGCCCAAAGAAGATAATTTTGCATCCAACCTGAAACCTGAGGAATGGCGACGTTCGCATCACGCTTGTCTGAAGGCAATGTGTCGACTGGCGAATCAAATCGAATTTGATTGCAGGGTAGACGAAACTGGAGAATCAGCGTACATGCTTGTGGTTGACGATCCTTCTCAAGAGGTACCATTTGATTCCGAAATTCCTTTTCCTGTCGATTGTGTGGATACTTTGGATCTCATGCTCGGTCCTGAAAATATGGAGATCTTGGGCAACCATCTTCGATCATCTGACTTGTTTGACGCAGACACAATCGATTTCATTCACTACCATGACAATAATAATAATGATGTGCAGTCTGAAACAACAGATAGCGGCGCTCAGAAGAAGAAGGCTCTATTTCAATTACTACCAGGTCAATGTGGGATTTGGGACATTCTTCAGCAAAGCTGGTATGAATGGCACGGTGACTCCAACATCGATCCACCACCTCCCGTCCCGCTCGTCAATTTTGATAACACAGAACCGGGGCAACTGGTTCGGATAAAGGCACGTGAATATCTTTGCTACGAAGAGTACATACCCAAAGAAGCCAAGAATAATCCCAAGTATTGGATCAGTGCCTATGAAACAGTATTGAAGTATCGATGGTATATTTCCTTTTGCGCTGCAATCATTTCTTCGGCCTTTGTCGAGATCATGGGTCTTTTTGTCATTATGGTGCGGGTGTTGCCATTGACTATCTGCTTTGCCAAGTTCACTACTACCGTCGACCCGGATCCAAACTACAAAATGTTACGTACCATGATGGAAATGTGGCGAATCTGGACGCACCTGATTGGAATACACGCCATGGCCTTTGCGATTAGAGGTAGTGAACAAGTCTATGTCGTTTGCGCACTGGCCACAGCCTCGATGCTCCTGTATGGGAATACCAAGGCTTCTATGGAATGGACCTTTCTGCACATTGTTTCCTACGGAATGGAATGGGAAGCAGATGCTGTTGCAGCGTCGAATCTGATACTTCCGTCGATTGAGGACGCGCTGGATCTGTTCATTCCAGCTCCGGGTCTTTGTTTGAAGGCGATTGTGGTGTACATGCTATACATGTCATCCTCACGTATACTCAATAAGCAATAAGGATACATCTCGGTCTTTCGTCGCTGCCTATTATGATCAGTGAGTGGCATAGCTCCTCATCTGATCCAAATTCGCAGGACATTGCTTTCACAAAGATAATTTCAAGTCAAGGACATTTTACCTGCTTCGACAATATGAATGCAAAAGCTTTGGGCAAACTTGTTCTCGGACAACAGCTATTCTATTACTTGGTACAACAAGTCACTTTCGTGGGAAGGATTGGAGGAACTCAAAGGCAGGCATTTCCCTTGCTTTGCTTTGGTGGCGGATCTACTGTGCCTCGTGTACTGGTATCCTGTTCAGTTGAAGTTGAAGTCGATAGAGCTAGCTGATGACAAGCACAAGTCGATGCGTACCAGTGCCTATACCAATGGCATAATCCATAAAATAGAGCGGTTCTCAAATGTCTCTTGCGGTGCATCGCGTTACAGTGGCTCGTCGACGGAGAATTTTGCGCCGCGTATTTTCTGAATTTTCATGATCGCGACCTTTTGGCTTCGTCCACACATTGCACTTTCAACGTGCTGAAATCCCCATTTTTCACTCCACGCCACCTTTTGGCTTCTTCACAAAAGCAGAAACGTTATATATATATATTTGGTTTTTATTGTTGCAGGTTCAACGTGCTAAATAACCTTTGCAAAGAGAACGCCATTCCCACGACTGCAAAGAAACGAAATTGCGTGCAAATAGAATCAAGGTGTCAAGCAACGTGTCATCATCATCTCATCTAAAAAATCAAATCGTGCCTTTCGTCCACAACCAA